CTGGGGCCTCAACCAGGGTGGCCGCTGATGACCACGGAGGGCTCATCCAAACCTGGCCACCAACAAAATTGCCGAGTGAAACTGTATGATTCAGTGAGCCAGGAGCATTGCCAGCATCTGTGTGAAGAAGTGTAAGAACATTGTGGCTAACACAAAGCGATGTCCATGTTGCTGAGGGAAACTGCAGCTGCATGAAAGCGTTCAAAAAGCGCAGGACATCGGAGAATTGCTCTGTGCGTTGAAAAATGCCTGAGCGGGCCCCGTTGTCAAAGGAGAAGGCGCCAAGATTAAAGTAGGCGTCATCATAAGAGACAGCGGAGTCAGCGTGAGACGCTTGCAAACAGGGTCTGGAGAAGTGTTCCTCCAAAAGTTCCAAGCAAGTGGAGAAAGTGAGTGACCCATCCATCATGGCTTGTGAAGCATGTGAAACTGAGTTGCGCGCTGCTGGGAGGGCATCTGAGTGTCCTGCCGAACCTGAAGGCTGAGCAGGTACACAAAGCGGGACCACACTGACCTCCTCAACGACGTCCCGCTGGTCGTTGAAGTGGGTGTCCTAATGCGGCGTGCCAACATGCTGGGAAGCAGGGTGGTTGCCGCCGCAAGCGGTGCCATCTGGCTTTGGGACTGCACAGCGGTGAAGGTACCTGCAAGTTGATGGGTCCTTGCACTGGCCATTCTGGTATCGCATGCAGAGGGTGTGCCTCTTACCTTCCATAAAGAGGGTGGAAAGCCANNTTTCCCGGTTGGGAAGCGCCCTTGCTTTCCTTGCCTTTGCCCCCTTTGCCGCCGCGAGCTGTACGCTCGCCTTTGTCCCCTTTGCCGTCGCGAAGTGGGAAGCCCCTGCCGCCTCCCTTGGGGTTGCCCTTAGTGCCGCGTAGACCCTTCCAGGAGTCAGCGGGCTCGAGAAAGCGCTTGTGAATGAAAGCTCTCGGGGCAAGCAAAGAACTCATATCTGACCGGACCTCGGAGAGTTCGTGAAGGGCATCATCCAGCTTCCAATTGTGCAAGTTCACAAGCTCGGATATGAGTTCCCAACACCTTTTATCCGCCGATTGTGCCTCCATGACTGTAGGGCCCCGCAAGTTGGAGGATGCCTCGTACTTCGTGAAGCACAAGCG